ACCGGGAGGAGCTGACTGCAGTGATGGGAATGGTGGTGAAGGCAATCCCACACTACTTCAAAATTTATATATGAAATTATGAAATCATTTTTGAAGTTCAATTCAGTTAAATTTGACTATTTTACATATACTGGGAGTCTTGGAAATAAATAGTTGGTTCAGATGACCAACCTGAAGCTGCACTTATTACTGATATTACTGAGTTTAGTTTTGTATTAAATAATCTGAAACAGCAGACAGCTGTTTTTGATAAAGACAAAGAACACAAACACAGACTGTACTGCTTTTCATTTCCTATTGTTCTAGAACATTTAGCAAAAACAATGAAAACTCTCAGAGCCCACTGACTCATTCTCAGTGATTTCAATCAATGTACCAAAGGTAATTCATGTCTTTTATGAGGTATGCAAGGAGTTATCAGATACCAGATTATAGGTGAATACACTTACTCTACAGGAATCTTTATTGTGTTTTGTCCACTGCAAGGACACCCTAGAGGGCACTCTGTTACAATTGGAAGGGCACCCTACCACAGGCAATTCATTTTTTATATAAGGTATACAATGAGTTACCAGATTATAGGTGCATACACTTGTACGGTAAACTACAGAAGACAGGGGTGAAACAGCTCAGTCATGGTTAGGTTAAGTACCCTACATGGTACTTTATTGTGTTTTGTCCACTGGAAGGGCACCCTAAACGGGCACTTATTACATGTTCTCCACTGGAAGGACACCATGGAGGGCACTTTGCTGTGTTTTGTCCATTGGAAGGCAGATGGCACTTCATCACATTTTCTCAACAAAAAGGGCACACTAGAGGGCACTTTGTCACATTTTCTCCACTATAAGGACAACTTGGAGGGCACTTTATTGTGTCTTGGCCACTAGAAATTTCTACTGGAAAGGCAACCTTAATCCTGTTTTATTCACCATGGGGGCATCCAAGAGGGCATATTTGCTGTATGCTTTTTAACATGGGGGCACCAGTAGTATACTGCATTCTTACAGACCTGAGAAATGTATTGTACCACTGAGCTTAAAGACAGGAAGGTGCACTGTGCCCTCTAACACATATCTGCATATTTTGTTGTAGTCACAAGGGTAGATCTCTGTGTGGGCTTTGGCACAAAACTTCACATGCAGGGAGTTTAGATCTCAAAAAGTTCAAAAATAATCAAACATGTACCACACCAGATCCTGAACCAGTATGCAACAAGAAATATGTTGTAAGTGTACTCCTGTGGGATTTATGTGGCGCCTCAGTTTAGCTTGTTGTATAAGACATGGCAGATTCCAAGATATAAGAGAGCAAGTCTGGACAAACTCAGACTTTTTATGAATAGCGAAAGTGTAATATTTCAGCGAGATGTCCTCCCTATCTTGGGGTGTGGAAAACTCTATTGTGGATACTCACATAAGGAATGCCAGTTTCCTGGAAGTGTGCTAGATGGGAAGGCTCAGTATGCTGTCACATAAGCCCACAAGTAAAAACTGACCCACCCAGTCACTCATGCTCTCTGATGCATTTCACTTAAATTCTGACTCACAATATGAATAACTACATGTCTCAGCTTCAACTTGATTGTACAAGACTGTTTTCAGTAACTCATGCCATTATATGTACACTTCCCAGTCACTGCGCTGTGGGATTTGGATGCTGTAAGCTTGTAGTCATAAATGGCTGTCAGCTGCAGCTGGAACATCTACGTCCCAGCTGACCTGTTTCTATACTT